TTAGGATCGTTAGACGCTACGATAAAATTATGGGACTTTACGAAACTTGCGGAGGAAATGAGTTTGGAGGACGTGAATGTGTCCCACAATCCAGATGTAAAAACAAACGCGGAAACATATCTCCTTCGAACGTTCGCGACGAAGAACACACCAGTGTTAACATTGCATTTCTCACGAAGAAATTTACTCTTAGGTGTTGGAATGTTCGAATCGACTTAACAAATCTAGTCGTTCTCGACCAACGAATGTTACTGATGGGATACGGTCTGGCATCGGTTCGTCATTGTTGTAATATAAGAACGTTTGTTAATAAAGTTTTTCACATTGATCATGCGACGTACCTGAATTATACCCGACGATAATGTATTGAAAATCAAGATTCCAAAGGCTATATATTTATATGTATATATACACGTGTAATTTGATATATAAATAAAGAAAAGAACTTAATAAATCGAGAGAAACGACAACGTCAATGGATTCGTTACGAAGCATTAGCATGATGAAACCAGCGTACTCGAAAAGACGAAGCAGATTCCACGAAATACAGGAGATTCGATTGATGAACTTCTATTGCGACTGGAATATGGATGTGCTGAGAATGAACGTCTCTCTGTGGCCACTGCATTTCACGCATCCATATTCTATTTCCATGATTAGGCAGGCGAACCAACATCCATTGCAATAGTCGTTTATTTAGGTTTCTATCGCTGGGTTCCTCTTGTATTTTCATGAATTTCTATCAAATTAGACCGTCCAAGGAGAATCATCACATCAAATAATACGTACACCGACAATTTAAAATAAACCATTTATCGAATAACGCATAACTTATCGATATCTAAAAAATATTACTCAAACGACAAACCGATCATCGCATGGTAACTGCGTCGCAGTTAACAAATTTACCGTTTATTCGCCGAGGCTTTTTGAAACTAAGGTGTAATTCATTTATGAGAGCAATTTCTTTGAAAAAATTGTATGATTCTCCTGAAAGACGAGGCTTCAAAGGGAAATGAAACGAGACTTCGTGATTTCGAAATAAGATAAGATTGCACCGACAAAAATAGACGATCTCAGAATACTTTCAATAAACTCGCATAAATTATCGTCAAGATAGCCTCCAGTGACCGACATTGAACATTTCACTTGAGAGATGATATTTATAGCTGACCGAGATCAGTTTTCAAAAGCGCATTCCTTTAAAAAACCGCTTGAATATCAAAATAGAGCAAATAAGATGGCGGATATAAGACACTGAATGTACTCGTTAGTTCGAAGGTCGACCGAGAGAGGAACTGAATAATGAAATGTGATCCTTTAGAAAGGACACGTTTCTTTCATTCCAGCTTGTTTTATCAAAGTGTTTGCATTGGAATACGGTCGTATTTCCATTTTTTCTCTTTTTAAGTACATCGTGCTTTTGTTCTTTTTATTTTTACTACGACTGTAAATACTAATTCTTGCTCAACTACGTGAATCATAGGTTCGATGGAACAAGGGGAACGGACGTCAATTTTGATCATAGGGTTTATTAGGTAAACAATACGACCGAGACCAAGTTCACGCGAGAAATTTATTTCCGATTGTTGATACGCTTACTTCTATCACAGCATACAGACGTAAGTTATACGCGTTTTTACCATACGCGCACGTGTGTGTGTGTGTGTGGTAGGTATGTATGTGTATGTATGTTTAGGATCGTTAGACGCTACGATAAAATTATGGGACTTTACGAAACTTGCGGAGGAAATGAGTTTGGAGGACGTGAATGTGTCCCACAATCCAGATGTAAAAACAAACGCGGAAACATATCTCCTTCGAACGTTCGCGACGAAGAACACACCAGTGTTAACATTGCATTTCTCACGAAGAAATTTACTCTTAGGTGTTGGAATGTTCGAATCGACTTAACAAATCTAGTCGTTCTCGACCAACGAATGTTACTGATGGGATACGGTCTGGCATCGGTTCGTCATTGTTGTAATATAAGAACGTTTGTTAATAAAGTTTTTCACATTGATCATGCGACGTACCTGAATTATACCCGACGATAATGTATTGAAAATCAAGATTCCAAAGGCTATATATTTATATGTATATATACACGTGTAATTTGATATATAAATAAAGAAAAGAACTTAATAAATCGAGAGAAACGACAACGTCAATGGATTCGTTACGAAGCATTAGCATGATGAAACCAGCGTACTCGAAAAGACGAAGCAGATTCCACGAAATACAGGAGATTCGATTGATGAACTTCTATTGCGACTGGAATATGGATGTGCTGAGAATGAACGTCTCTCTGTGGCCACTGCATTTCACGCATCCATATTCTATTTCCATGATTAGGCAGGCGAACCAACATCCATTGCAATAGTCGTTTATTTAGGTTTCTATCGCTGGGTTCCTCTTGTATTTTCATGAATTTCTATCAAATTAGACCGTCCAAGGAGAATCATCACATCAAATAATACGTACACCGACAATTTAAAATAAACCATTTATCGAATAACGCATAACTTATCGATATCTAAAAAATATTACTCAAACGACAAACCGATCATCGCATGGTAACTGCGTCGCAGTTAACAAATTTACCGTTTATTCGCCGAGGCTTTTTGAAACTAAGGTGTAATTCATTTATGAGAGCAATTTCTTTGAAAAAATTGTATGATTCTCCTGAAAGACGAGGCTTCAAAGGGAAATGAAACGAGACTTCGTGATTTCGAAATAAGATAAGATTGCACCGACAAAAATAGACGATCTCAGAATACTTTCAATAAACTCGCATAAATTATCGTCAAGATAGCCTCCAGTGACCGACATTGAACATTTCACTTGAGAGATGATATTTATAGCTGACCGAGATCAGTTTTCAAAAGCGCATTCCTTTAAAAAACCGCTTGAATATCAAAATAGAGCAAATAAGATGGCGGATATAAGACACTGAATGTACTCGTTAGTTCGAAGGTCGACCGAGAGAGGAACTGAATAATGAAATGTGATCCTTTAGAAAGGACACGTTTCTTTCATTCCAGCTTGTTTTATCAAAGTGTTTGCATTGGAATACGGTCGTATTTCCATTTTTTCTCTTTTTAAGTACATCGTGCTTTTGTTCTTTTTATTTTTACTACGACTGTAAATACTAATTCTTGCTCAACTACGTGAATCATAGGATCGATGGAACAAGGGGAACGGACGTCAATTTTGATCATAGGGTTTATTAGGTAAACAATACGACCGAGACCAAGTTCACGCGAGAAATTTATTTCCGATTGTTGATACGCTTACTTCTATCACAGCATACAGACGTAAGTTATACGCGTTTTTACCATACGCGCACGTGTGTGTGTGTGTGTGGTAGGTATGTATGTGTATGTATGTAATGTCTTCACGTCATCGCGTGTGTCGTGTGTGCGTATGTGAAACGATGGCTTTTTTTTTTTAGTAGTTAACACTTTCGTAATAGGGTTACAATGTATGCGTTGTCGTTCTTTCCATTTTTTCACTCTTCTCTCGTCGTCCACGTTCGTTTAAAGGATAATCAACTATACATCAATCTTCTACGTCCCAGTCAAGCCTCGCGCATCAATATCAAACCTAGGTTACATGTGTGATTTTTAACTATATGTTATATCATCTTTGTTTAACGTACTTATGAAATCTGGATAGGTTAGGATCGCGTTTAACGCGGGAACATAGAATATCCGGTATTCGAACTTCCCGAAGTTCACCAGGATTCTCATTCAATATAGAATTCGATTCCGTAATGGCGTCTATGAAGGGCACCGCTACGTTCTCGCGTTAATGATCGTGGTGGCTGCGTGTTTCTTACAAAAAACGATGGAATTATCGACGGATCGACGCAGATTACATCGATTTGATAATAAGATGAAACAGGAGGGTCGGTGATAACGCGGTTTGGTTGTTCTTGGTCGTGTAATCCTTAGAATAAATTGCATATGAATATCGCTGCCGCTCAAACACGGCAATTTATAAAATTATAGAATAAAACGAGCTTTTAAAAAGTGACAAATATCAATCGAAATAATTCTCTTGTGTTTTTTAAATGTTTTTTTCGCTTTTTTATGTTTTTCATAAAGTGTGATCAGACCATCTGTTTCTTATTCCCTTTTTAATAAATCACAGTATTAGTTTCGTTTCGTCTTTGTCCCCCCGATGTTCACATGCGATTTATATCGATTATTTCGTTCAAGTGGATTTTGTACTGGCGCCATTTTTCCCTTGTTTTTCCGCCAATTATTTTCTGCGTCGTGTCACGTCGTGGACGTTTGTGGCACTCGTGTTCGACAACCGACCGTGATAAAAATTTTCTCTCGATGGAAATTACAGATTCCTACTTCGTTTTATTTTCTTTAAAAAGCATATACTCGTACGTATCAGCCATGCTCACTTCTTCGTTTTTTTTTTTCTCCTTAGTTACAATCTTTCACGCTCTGTATGCTTTTCTTCTCCTCGTCATCATGCATTTTCGTTTATTACCTAAAAACGTGTGTTCCTAGTGCTACTGTGATACCGCGGTTTTACCATGAAAACCGTATACACGAATTGTTCGAGCGATTCATCGATTCGATCCACCCTTTG